AGTTTATACTGGCCCTTAATAGTTAATTCCTCCCTCTGCTTTCTGCAGAAAGTCTTGGTCCTGGTGCCAGACTTGAGGCAGGAGAGAGAAACTCATGGAACACCCTGACACCTACAACCTTGTGCAGTGTTGTGTTTTGGAAAAGAGGATTTAATTTAAGAATAATCATGATCCTCTTAACTCTCCACTCCAGATTTCTTCCCTGAGAGAGTAAATGAATATGGAGAGGCCATGTTCAGATGAACCAAAAATAAGAGGTTCATATGTGTCCTGCACAACTCAGGTCCCATTTTTCCTAAAAAGAAGCCAGCAGTTTAATTTAAGAATAATCATGATCCTCTTAACTCTCCACTCCAGATTTCTTCCCTGAGAGAGTAAATGAATATGTAGGGAGAGGCCGTGTTCAGATGAACCAAAAATAAGAGGTTCATATGTGACCTGCACAACTCAGGTCCCATTTTTCCTAAAAAGAAGCCAGCAGCAGGTCTTGACCTTGATCTTCAGTTTGGTGGACGTGTCTCTGCTGCTGCCTGATAGATCCTTGTGTATGGGCACATGCATCTCCTGAGGGTCACCTATGGAAAACTAGATTTCATTGATTTTTCTGGTTGTGCTCAGCACAAAGCAGCTTCCTCTGTGTGCTTGACCTCCTGAGAAACTCCTCCTGAAGGTAAATCACTCTGAAATGGGTCTTTATAAGAGAGGTGCTGAGATTGATGAAGCATCTGGTCTCTTTTCTCTACCCTTTGGACTTCTATCTCCTTCCCCAGACAAAGGGTCATCGAGGAGGTGGACTCAGCTGAACCATGGCAGTAGCCATGGCCCATAAGATGCTCCTAAAATGCTTTATCCTGAGATGAAAGTCATGAAGTGAAGGCGGTGGCCTGGCAGGCGTTGTGCTTTGGCAGCTTCTCCTGAGGACTCCTGCAGATGTTTGAATGTTGTTCTTTTCATGGTGAAATTAAACGTGCAGCCAGGAACACTTTTCCCTGCTGCCTTGAAGATTTTGCTTTATTTCTATCCCCCATTTGTACAGTGATGTTAAAATGTGACTGAAAACAAAGCAGACTGAAGATTTAGCTCATGGTCTTTGCTGTGCTGGTTTTAGAACCACAGAATTATTAAGGTTGGAAAAGACCTCTTAGATCATTAAATCTGACCATCAAGCCAACACTCCCATGACCACTAAACCATGTCCTGAAGTGCCATCTTTCCATGTTGTTTGAACCCCTCCAGGGCTGGGGACTCCAGCACCTCCCTGGGCAGCCTGGGCCAATCCTCACCACTCTGCCAGGAGAGAAATTCTGCCTAAAATCCAACCTCAACCTCCCCTGGGGCAACTTCAGCCCATTGCATCTCATCCTATCACTTGTTCTTTGGGAGAAGAGACCAACCCCCACCTCACCCCACTCCAGCTGCCTCTCAGGGAGTTGCAGAGAGCCAGAAGGTCTCCCCTGAGCCTCCTCTTCTCCAGGCTCAGCACCCCCAGGTCCCTCAGCTGCTCCTCACAACCCACGTTCCCAGACCCCTCCCCAGCTTCGTTGCCCTCCTTTTCATGGATACATTTTGGAGTTTTGCTCTTTGGGGAGCACTTTCCTCTTTGGGCTTTAGAGCTAAAGCACCTTAGAGAAGCTGAAGCCATTGAGTAATTTTGGTGATGTTCATGTCCCAACTCCCAAGACAAATGCAAGCACTCAAAAATGTTGCTAATCCATCATTCACTTGTACCTGTCCAAGTGCTGCATAAGTGAAAATCCATCTAGTCCAAACGTGACCTTACCCAGCAGAGAAGTCCTGGGGGTTTCCTGGGGGTGTGGATAGTCTGCTCTTGCCCTGAACACAGCCACAGGGAATTTGGGAAAGGAAAGCTGAAGGTAGGAAACCTTCCAGCATCAATAATGCCTGTTAGCTTCTTTACCAAACCAGCCTGTAAGGATTTAATGTACATGCTTTACTAATGGGGCCACACTGATTTTCACTGAGAAAATCAGTAATAATCCAGTACCTTTTCCAAAAAGGAAAATAAAATAGCCATTAAAAAGTGCTTGTCTAAACTCTTGGTGTCTGCAGAAGAACAGCCAAGCTCTTGCAGTGCAGTAATGTCAGATTTTCATATTTAGAGAGAGCATGGGGGGAGTGATTTGGGATACAGACCTCTGAAAATGGAAAAGGCCAAACAAATCTCTCTGTGATCCTGCTTAAATTCATAAAGAAATAAGCACTGTAGGAGTCTTTAGAAGCTGGGCAGATGTTTTAGTGCTGAAGTCACACAAGTGCCAATTTTTTTTATATCACATACTATAGGATAGTAAAACATTTCTGTACATATCTAAGCTGGAAAAAAATATAATCACCTTGCCTACTGGCTGCTCCCTGAGTGTTTAGTGCCTGATCACATGCAGTTTTCATAATATATAGGCTTTGGGTAGTGATATGTAGTCAGGAACAGCTTCTCCTCCTCCTGCATCTCAAGGAACTTGCTCTCTATCCTTTTTTTAGTAAGAAATATTTCCACATCTTTGCATTAGTCTCTGCTAAAGAGTTTGCTGTTGGAAAGCAGGACTCCCAGTTGCTGAGTAGTGCTTGAAGGGTGAAATCTGCAGTTGCTGGAAGCTCCTGTGAGAGAGGAGACCAGAGAACTTGTGGGATGAGATGCCATCCATCATCAGAAGCTGTGGTTCTTGGTCAGCAGTGCAACAGCAGCATCCCTTCCAAGTGGAAGTCACCGTGGGGGTCCTGGACCTGTGTGTGAGGAGGGTGGGAGAGCACAGTGGAAACCACAGTGTTGTTTGGGGACCTGCAGAAAGGGTCAAGTTTTTGGAAGCAAAGCCAAGTTTGGGTTTGGAGACAGGGAGCATTGAGTGGTCATGGTCTTTCTCCCACCATAGTCTTCCCTTGTGTGGCTCTGGGTCTCCATTGGGACCTCTGGAATGACAAGAGCTGGGTTGTGTCTCTCTCCCTGCCCCTGGGCACACCAGTTCCCCCAGTTTGAGCCCAGTGGTTGGTGTAAATAGTATGATTTAGGAAATAAATAATCTATTCTGGTTCATCTTTTTGAAGTGCTCTCTTTAAGCACACTTTAAGGTGGGGAGGGAGGTTTGGAGATGCTTTCTCCCCCCCATCAAGGCTTTCACTGGGCTTCAGATGTACAGGAGGGGGAATTTTCATCTTAGAAAGCTCGTGTGCCTTGAAGTGGCTCATTAAGGATTCAGAGTGATAAGATCATAACTGTCGATAAAGTTGCCTTTTATTATTGGGATTATCATTAGAACTGCTTTTTGTTCAATCTCCTCCTTTGCAGTTTCCCTAGAAGCTGATAAATCAGCTCATCCTTTTCTCCTCTTTAGATTTGAGGGAAGCAATAGAGATTTGGGGAAATCAAGAAACGCCTGTTCTTGATAAAAAAGAATCCAGCTACTCTGCACTTCATCTTATTTTTGTCATTTGGAAAAGCAAAAAGAATCCATTTTCTCTGCTTCTTTCCAGGCTTTTCTGTTTTTTTTTTTGGGGGGGTTATCCTCTCCCTTTAAAACACCACCCAAGATGGTCAATACTGGCTTTTCCAATTCCATTACATCTTTCAGCTTTCCTCTTCTGATTCCCTGGGGAAAACTGGGGGATGTCGTAGAAAGAGGTCCAACAGGGAACTTCAGAAGAAGTTTTCTCTGAAAATAGATGCACATGGTTCCTCACTGGACATCCTGAGAGCTGAGCTGTGCCAAACACTTTCCACTACCCTGATTATCTTTCATCCAACTAAGCATTATAGCAACTTTTGGTCTAATTTTTATACTTTGCTGGTTTTTCAGCAGCCGTTGTGGGATGAACAAGGAGAAGATCTTTTAATATTTATTTTTTTTTCTCCCTTTACAGTTGTTTCCTGTCTTTGCTCCTGGTGGCAGCTGTGGTTTGGAAGATTAAACAGAGTTGCTGGGCATCACGACGGAGAGAGGTGGAAATGACAAAATTGAATTCTCTCTCTTAAATGGCTTTTTTATAGTTGTGTTTATTCACACATGCATAGTGTTAACCTTCAGTTAAGGATAAGCTCCACTAATCTATAAACGTTTCTGTGGAGGGATTTAGAACAGTGTACTTTCCATTACACTTTCAGTGACAAATGGTGCTATTTTAGTATCCTGATGCTGCACTTTCTGTGAAGGGCAGAAAAAGAGGGGGGGAATGTCCTGAGGTCTCATGATTGGGCTCTAGAAAGCATAATCACAAACCCACCACCAACGGGGAGATTCTTCCCATCTCTTTTCAAAGAGGAGGTTTCACTAGCTCCTGCTTTAATCTGGTTAGTAACTTAAAGAAAAAAAGAACTAATCCCCATTTTGGAATTAAAAGCTTATCGAAATGTTTTGGGGTGGTTGGTTGGGTATTTTTTTCCCCTGGAATATAGTAGCATGAGAGAAAGGTGAGAGAAGCCACCCAGGATTTGAAGAGCTGTAGTGTATCACTTAAAAAGGCAACTTCTATTTCTCTCCTTCTCACCCAGCCATGGACCATACCAAATTCCCAACTTTTTCTTGTTTGCAGCATGTAAAAACCCCTGTGTGCTCTACAACCTCTGATTCCTCTTTGTCCCTGATGCCTTTTGTAATTTGCTGCTCCTCAGTTGAAGCTGATTTCATGCTGTAACCAAAGCCCTCAGGCTGGCTGAGGTAGGGTGGCCAACATGGTGTCACTCAGTAGTGTGCAGAATGTGTCCCTTATTCTCATTTTAAAGCACAAATGCAGATTGGAATCATGGAATTCTATAGGTTGGAAAAGGCCTTGAAGATCATCCAGTCCA